GAGCCAGTAAAAGGATATCATCACATTTCTTCTGATACTCTGTTAGCAAATTACTGAAACAAAGAAAAGAATTGTTACTGTTATTCTAGAAAACATACTATGTTAAAGTCATGTTGCAAAATACGCAGGGCACTTTTCTTCCAATGCAACACTTACATTTAATTATATATACCTACATACATATATACCTCCATACATATATTCCTACATACAAATTCCTTAAAAACACTGCACTGATGTATGAGCTTTTAATCTGAAATCACTTTGATCTAAGTAATATCTTAGCTTATAAATTCATGCGACTCTTATAGAATTAAAAACAAAAGCTTACGCCATGGCCGTGAAATCTGAGATCTATTGCTAAAGCTAAGAAGTCTTTGAGACAGAAAACATTAAAAAAAATTTCCACTTTAGCAAAATTCACTTCCTAACCATGAACCTCGTTGTAAAGGCCCACAGAGGGCTCACGGTGGGGACAGGAGGCCTCGGTGAGACGCTGAGGTCCCCTCTCAGGCCCCAGGCTTGTGTGTCAGGTTCACGAGGCTCAGCCAAACTCATGTAAAGATACTCACTCTGTATTAATAATTTTTTGCTTCAAGGTAATTAATGCTTCAACATATTCATTTAAATTCTGAAAGAAAAAAAACACTACAGTCAGATACTTGTATTTATAGTATAAGTTACTTTAAAGGAGTTTTTCTGCGCCAGCTCATTTATTATCAAACAGAAACAGTTTGCTGCGTTCCATCAGCGTGGCTCCGTTACGCTACCCCCGCAGCGCGCGTGAACACGCAGACCCGTTCTGAGCGACCAGGAGCCGCCGCACCTCGGGGTCTCCGTGTGACCCCTGCCGGCGACAGCAAGGCAGGGCTGCCGGGCGCTGTGTGTGCTCCAGCACAGCGAGCTCACGCCGCACGACCGTGACAAGCCAGGGCCCTCGTAGCCTCAGGGAGACTGCTGCTCCCCCCGCAGGAGGCACTCTGCTTTTTGAAGAAGTCTCTGCCAGGGACCCTGTGCATACCTGGGGCAGGTACCCTAGGCAAAGAACGGCAGGACCAGGGGGACCCACGCACGCGAACCGCACTTCCTCCCGTTAAGCTCCTGGGGCAGCCGATCCTTTGGTGCCCCAAGCAGAAGACCAGGAAAACCCTTCCCTGAGGATCTGAAAACTCGAAACAGCCCAGAGACCAGATCTAAGGCACTGGCACGAGACAGCCTTCCACGGAGAGCCGCCACGCAGACCTACTGCACTGAAGCAGGGCCCAGAAGCCACACGCTCAGCTCAGTGAGCCATCGCTCTTCCACAAGATCAAAACATTTCCAGACAGCAGAGACTCATGTAACGTGAGACACCAGAACAAGCCAAAGCAACTTGCAATAAGCAAAAACTGAGACGAAAACTTCGAAAATGTTAATATAATGAGAAAATGAAACAAGACAAGAATAGTTCTTAGAAAAATCTTAAAAAGCTCTTAAAAATTCAGAACATAAACACCCCCTGGCATGGTCCAAATCGAAACGACAGGCAACAGCAAGTGTTGGTGAGGGGCAGGGAAATCCGAGCCCTCAGACACTGCTGCTGGGATTCGGCACGGTGCAGCTGCTGCGGGAAAGCGCGGCCGTCCCTCGAAACGGACTACCCACTGGTCCAGCAATGCCACTCCCAGGAGTGCACCCAAGAGAGCTGGGGACACGTGTCCAGGCCGAACTTGTGCACTCTTATTTATAGCAGCATCATTCACACGAGCCAAAAAGTAAAAATAGATTCAGTGTCCGTCTACTGATGGACGAATGGATAAACAAAATGTCCTACAGACATGCACTGTGGTTATTTAGCAACGAAAAGAAACGAAGGACACGTGCTACATGAATGAACCTTGAGAACATTATGCCGTGTGAAAAAAGCCAGTCACGAATGGCTGCATACTTTATGATTCCATTCACATAACTTTTTTTTTTTTTCTGGCGGGGCATCCCTTGGTTGACCTCACAGATTGCAAGGACCTTGTCAGTTTATAATCCCTTATTTTTTTTTATTTTTTAGCCCTACAGCACCTGGTATTCCTGGGTGGTCTCCCATCCAAGTACTAACCAGGCCCGACTCTGCTTAGCTTCCGAGATCAGATGGGATCAGGCTCGTTCAGGGTGGCATGGCTGTAGACATAACTTGTTCTCAAGAGGCAAATCCACAGACAGAAAGCAGATTTCGGGGGGGGGGGCAGGAATGATCGCAAATGCCTACGAGGGGGTGGCTCTGGAGGCGTCCACAACCACACAGCTGACGTGACTGGGTAATACGAATGTACTATACTACGAATGTACTATAAAAACCACTGAACTGTGCACGTTAAAAGGATGAATTTTATGGTATGTGAATTATATCTCAATAAAACTAAAAACAAGAAAGCAAAATAAAAGGCTCGAAAGAGTTGTTATACATTTGGATAAAAAGGTCTCCCAAAATAAAGCAAACCACAGACGCGAGAATAAAGAAAAATGAAAACAATTAGAGTGTCTGTGCAAGAGGTCTCACACGCTCACCAAGCTCCAGAGACAGAATGAGGGGAAAGACCGGGAGATAATCGAAGAAACACTGATGTTCAAGGAAACAGCCTAGAAATGATGCCAGAAGTTTCCAAACTGAAAGGGCCCAGCTCATGGACACAAACAGGATCCAAATCATGACACATCGGCACAAAATTTCAAAACACCAGAGACCAGGCAAAGAGCCTATATGAATCTCGAGAGAAAAAGAAACGAAACAAGTCATATACGAAGCATCGGGACTCAGAATGGCTTTGGACTTCAACAGCAAGCTAGAGACTTAGAAGTCTTGAGATCTAGAAGGCAAGCCTTGGAAATTCTGAAGACGAATGAATTTCAAGGTAAAATTCTGTACAAACTATCAACCACTCGTGATGGTAAAATGGACGTTTCCGAATTCTCCGAGTCACTTCCCAGACATCCCTGCTGAGGCTCGTACTGCAGGGTGTGAACTGGGGACAACGTGGGACACACAGGTAAGGGGACTCCAGGAAGGCAGCTGAGCGCCGGACTGGAGGTCCAAAGGCTCAGGGGGGAGGTTTTCCCCTAAGCAGAAAACGACAGACCATCGGCTGGAATGACGGCATTAAAAGGATATTTCTTCCTAATAGGCAGAGAACTGCAAGTGAATGTGCATGGCTGGTTTTCATCGTGCACTTGAATTACGATTATTTTTTAAGTAAAAGCAATTCTCCCTCTTTTTTCCCATTGTTTCAAGTTCTTTGCTAGTCAACCTCATCTTCCCCGCCTTGCTTCCAGATACCAGCAGTAATGTCAAGTACTGGGCCAGAGACATTCCAGAGTCACACGCAGCTGGATTCAAACTCCTGTTCCCCCACTTTCTGGCTGAGTGACCGTGGGCCTATTTGACCTCTCCCTGCCTCAGTGCCACCTCCACGGCACAGACGAGGAGACGAACACTGGGAGGCTACACAACCGGCTTGCTACCAGACTAACTAGGAGGAGCCAAAAACAAAGTGTCCAACTAAGCCCGTGGCATGCAGTGAGCACTCAGACGGGCACGCTGAATTACGGATGTAATCATTAACCGGGGCACCAAGAAAACACACAGGAAAGGCAAGGCAGCCACAATCTACTCAGCTGAGCTCTGAGCAGCATACGGTTAGTTCGACTCCGATAGTGACCTAACCAAAATCGTAACTACACTGAGAAAACTGGGGGGCGGGGGGATGCTCAGGTGTGGTGGGTACAGGACAGAGAGCTCAGTCCTCGCCTCCCAAAGTCAGAGGTCGATACGTTTAAATTGGAGAAAGCAGTGGCAACACGAGTCTATTATTTAATATGAAAGTTCATTATGAAACATGCACGGTACAATTAAATGTGCTGTCCCTTGGGGAGGGGGTAGGTGAGGTGTGGACTTCAAGCTGTCTTAGCAAATCCTGTATGACCAGCTGTCTCTCTAAACTATGTTCACGTATAACTCTAACAAAAATAAAAACTTAAAATCACAGAGCGTAGCATCACGCAGGGGGAAAAAAACATAGGTAAGTGAATCTGACTTCTTGGTTTCCATAGCATCCTAGTCCCTGACTGACACTTTTCCCAAGGCCTGGTTGGGCGGCAGCTCTAATTTGGTCAGACACTGCAGGTCGCTAATAAAACATTCTTTTCTCTCCGATCTGATTCAAATGTCACTTATGTCGGTTCAAACAAGGTCTCCAATGAACGAACCTCAGAATCAGGAGCCCCGAGCAGGCCGTCTGGCTGGAGGGCACCCTGGGCCTCGAGGAGGAAGCGAGGTCAGGTGCTCTTCCTCACCGAAGGTAAGGGCGGCGTGGGTTCTCTGAGTACTGCTTCCCTCCCAGCAGCCCTGCTCCTTCTGGAACTTCTACTGCGTCTGCTGAAGGCTCAGACTTGCTCCCAGGGCCCTGCGCTCCCCTCACGTGACTCCCGTCACTTGCATTTTTCTTTGCCCTCCAGCTGAGCTTCTCACAGTGTTACCTACTCAATCACTGGGTCCCCAACGCCACCCCCAGAGCAGCCCGTTCTGTGACTCAGACTGCCTCCCTACCCCCGCTCGCTCTCTCTCCTCTGTCACTGCGCACCGAGAAAAAGAAATCCACGGTGCTCCCTACCCCCGCTCCTTCCTGCAGAAGCGGGATGAGCCCAGGGCGAGCAGGGGCCGCAGGGAGCAGGACAGCGTGGCGAGGAGCGAGCCGGCAGGCTGGGGGCTGAGATGGAGACGGCCAGTATGGTTTAAAACAGGGTAGTACAAAACCAGTAAGTAAAACAGGTGGACAGTGAGCAAATAGGTCGATGACTGCAGGACAAGTAGGCCGCCTCGGTCCCACTCTGACACTGCTAGCGTTCTGGGCTGGAAGATTCTCAGCTGTGGGGCTGTCTGTGCACTCTAGGGTGTCAGGCAGCGTCCCTGGCCGCTGTGGGTCACCAGCTGGCCGGAGCACTCCCCCGCCCCCGAGCTGTGTGTGCGAAATGTCACCGCAGCAGGCCTGAGACTACTTCCTCAGGAAGGCCCGCGCGCAAGGCGGGCCCTGGGCTGCAGTCTGGGAACCTGAATTTCGGGGAGTTCATGCCACTCCCTGATTGCTGAGAGGGGTTCCCTGTGCCTACCCTGTGACACGTCCGGCCTCCGTTCCGGGGGTCTGGCATTTTCGTACATGCTAGGCAGGAGGTGCCCATGGGACCGGTCTCTAAGAGAATCTCCCATCTAACATACATGAGTCTCCACTGGGCACCCCTAGGAGACAACACTTCACCCAAATCCAGCGAGTCCCCCCACCTGGTTCCCTCTGGACTTTACCCTCTTCCCTGATTCTGCCACAGACCCTTCCACTAGAAGAAACCACGCCCCCGAGGACTACCTGCGAGTCCTGAGTCCACACAGCACACCGCTGAACCACGGCGTGACACTGTAACCATCAAAATTGTCTCAACATTGCCAAACGTCCCCCAGAGAACACAAGGCTCTATCCACTCTTTAAGCTTTCATGAAAAGACAAGAAAAACTAAACGCCAGAGCCTGCAGAGACAAGACAGTGATACGTAACACACATCCCCGACAGAAACCTGAACCAGAGAGACACCACCCCCGGCCTGAGCGAATCCCAGCGGCTCTGTGGGCTAGACGGGATGGACTGCTGTACCGACCGACACCGACACCCTGATGTGGAGGCTGGGGGCCACTGTGCCAGTGTTCAGATCGGGGGGAACGACGAAGCAATGCAGAACCTTTTGAATAATCTGTGAATGGGGTGAAGAGAATACCAGAGTTCTTTGCACTACTCTGGTGACTTTCTTAAAAGTTCCAAATTATTTCAAAATAATTTTTACAAATCATACTAACCGCAGTAATTGCTTGAATCCTCTCTGATAAGCTACATTTCATCAAGTTTGCTAACTTTTTATCAAGTGCTCACAGTTAGAAATTAAAGGTGACGGTGCTCCCTCTCAGAGCGGGAGGATGGCACCCCGTGATCTCCCCCCACCCCGTACAGTGCGGACTGAAACACGGTGGGGAGGCGGGCATACCCGCCCCTCTCCAACTACGCTCACCCCGAAAACAGGCTGAGTGGCGCTGGTTCCTGAGGAGCCACCTCCCCTTCACTGCCCTCACCTGACTTGGCGCCTACCCCATCACGAACTGCTTTGTCTGCATGTGACACACTCTCATCCTCAACAGCTTCCCTGCGTCTCTCCCTCCCACTGAACTACGAATTATCCTTCTATCCTTCGGAACTCATTAGAGTCGCTTCCTCTACGAAGCCTCCGCTGTCCCTCCTGGGTGCTGCCAGGCCCCAGGGCACCCTGCGCAGCTCCCAGCACAGCACCCCCTGCATCCCGACAGCCGGCTGCTCTCTGACCCATCTGTGCACACCTAAAGCACGCACCCCCCGCCACTTCCCCTCGTGACTGTTCCGAACCCCACCGCGGCATCGCCGCCACTGCGATGCTCAGCAAGCAGCTGCTGAGCGAGCGAACGACTATCCTGTGAATAGTACACGTCACCACCACTTAGGAATCGATGGTCTACGGGGCTTGTTTCAAGTTCCAGACGATGACGTTCAACCCACTGGTAATTTTCAATGGGAGTCCAGCACAGGCTCAAACCTGCTCCAAGTAGAGCAAACACCATCTATTTTGAAGCTATTCTAGTTACATGAGCCAAACAGTATAAACATGTGCTCCAAACCCGCAGCTGGATTCCCAAGATTAAACCGTTCAGCGCTGCACTGAATGGAACTGGTATGGAGAAGAAACCAGAGGGCGGGCTTTCTCCTCCACCAGAATCAAGCGATTCAAGGCGGCCTGACTTAAAGCCACTTCGACTGAACACCTGCTTAGCCGTGCACAGCATCACCAGAGCAAGGTCCGCATCAGCTTGCCAAGTCTGGCAACTTGTATGGACAGAGGGCTACCGATCCCTGACGCACCACCGCAGCCAATCAGGATGAGAAAACGAGAGACGAGGTGACGTGAGACTGCAGACGAGACGGATGCAGAGAGTGTGGCCCATCCACACCCTTCTGACCCAAGCCATGCCTCAGCAAGGGCACCGTGCCCCTCACGCACGAAGAAAAAGACGGCAGGGAGGGGTCAGACGCGGAAGCAGACCTCCAGTTCAGGACAGAGACACAGGCTCTCACTACGGTTCAGAACGAAGTCATGGCACCTAGGGGAGGCGCGTGCAGAACTGCAAGGGCCACTGCGGAGCAGGCTGTCCTCCCCGCGTGCAGCCGCCTCAGTCCCCCTGGCCGTCCTGCCATGAACGGCCACAAAGGTTTTCGGTTTCTCTTAAATGACAACATACTCTTCCATTCTCCTACCCCCATCGTCCTTTCCAAGCAAAGTTCTTACAACGAACTCGGCGCGCACCTCACCTGGCCTGTTCTCTTGGTTTCCTTAGAAGTGCGTGGGGGTACCTTGGAGGCACTGCATTCCACAAACGGCAGATGTGAAAACAGGTGAAAATCCCCAGTTCTGACCTCATTCCAGACCTTCGGTCCCACCATTCCGGCTTGGTTTCCACGCTCTCCTGCCTCTGCCAGTTTTTACAGCCACTCAGATTTTAGATCTCTGCACCTTCAACCTCCCTGACTTGAGATCTGTCCACTGCAGTTTCTTGTAATCAGAACCTTTCACTTCTCTCTATCCCATCCCCAGGAAACTCCGATTACTCCAGGCTTACATCATCACCAGTACGCATGACTAAACACCCCCCCTGCACACCGCCACCTGCTATTCTGACTCTAAGCACTGCCACTGCGTGGTGACGACGCAAAACCCTTCATGGCTCCAAAACGCTGACAGCAACAGAACAAACTTTAAGGTGGTGACCATTCACGGTCCCCTATAACCGGCTGTGAACCTGTTTTCCAAACTTACTTTGCAACATCAGACTTGTTCCAGAGACTCCACTCACAGCTAACACCCTCTTCCCCTCAAAAGTCATTCCAGGCAACAGGACACCCGAATGCAATGGACTGTCCAGATGTTCAGAAGCATCTGCAAACCAAGGCCCTCGGCCTGTTTTTGTAAACAATTATTTCCGTGGGACACGCCTATGGCCACTCCCCCAGCACTGCCGGTGGCTGTCTGGACAGCACAATGGCAGAGAGGTCCAACAGTGAGCAAGACCACCCACAGCGCCAAACGGCCACGACCCTGCCCCTTACAGACAAAGTCCCCAGACCCTTGGACTCAATGATTTCACAGGATCATTCCTATCACTATTCTGAAAACCAAGAGAGGGACTGTAGCGGGTGGGAAGACAGAGACCCCTGTGGAGGCCACTGCCATCATCTCCGGATCACAGGTTACAGTGGTTTGCACGAAGGGGGAGGCAGTGGGGACAGGGAGAGGAGAATGGATAGCAAGGTGGGGCTGAGAGAATCGGTTAACGGACTGCATGCAGGTTGGAAAAAAGGAAGAACCATGATTGCCACCTTGTTCCCGGCCTGAGCAACCAGAACACAGTTGCTACTTTTAAGCGAGACGGGGACTTCTACAGGCAGACCGGGGTTCTGAAGGTCAGGTCCACAACTGGAAATAATTCACACCAGTTGACTCCTGCACGGAAGCCTCCAGTGACTCACTATTCTTTCCAAGTAAAAGCGGAAACCCTCACAAAGGTCTCAGTGGTCCCCCAAATTCATATGCTGAAATCTAATCCCCAATGTGACAGTATGTGAACATGGGGTCTTTTGGAGGTGATTGGGGCATGAATAGGATCAGTGCCCTGATAACAGCCCAGAGTGCTCTCTTCTCCCTCCTGCTGTATGACACGGCCAGAGAACAGCCAGGAACCGGCCCTCACCAGACACGGACCTGCTGGTGCCTTGATCTTGGCCTTCCCAGCCACCAGAACTGTGAGAAATAAATTTCTGTTGCTTATGGGCCTCCGAGTTTATGGTGCTGCTGTAGCAGCCCCGAACGGATGAAGATACCAACACTCGCCCCGGCTACACGGCCTCCCTGCTCTTCCCAAGCACCCTGGGCAAGCGCCCGTGTTAGGCCTCCACACTGATCTTTCCAGTGTCTGGGATGCTTTTCTCCCAAGACATCTACAGAGCTCATTCTCTCAGCCCCTCCCCCTTGCTGAAATATAACCACTGTGAGGCCTTCCCAAGACCCCTTACTGAAATTCCACCAGCCACTGGCCCCTTCCTCACCCACCTGTTCTCCCCACTTCTCTGCTTAATTTATCTCCAGTGTATTTATTACGTTCTCAAGTAATTTGTTTAACCTGTCTCCTCTCCTACTTCCCGGAATGGAAGCTCTGAGCAAGAGTATTTGTATGTTTCCCTCCCGCCAGTGTCACGGCTCTGCCTGAAACACAAGTGGTCTATAAATATCTGTTAAGTGAATGAACTGGTCCAAAGAATAATTTATTATAAGATTCAAGAGAATTTCACTGATATTCCTGAGGTTTTGGGGTGGGGGGGAAGAAAAGCGCATTACAAATGCCCATACGATGCAGTTCAACTCAGACAATGATTTTATTTAGTTCTGCTATTCCAGATTGCCTGTGCACTGTCTCCCTTTTCTCCTTCCTGTTCCTAACAATTAAAATGTTTGGGATCAGTCAGTTCATAGGTAATACACTAATGGAAAGAGAAAAAAAAAAAAAAAACCCCGAAGCTTTTCCTGATGGCCGATCAGGCCTACATTCCTTCCCAGTCTCATCTCACCAGCCTCTCCCCGCTCTGCTCTGTGCTCGCGCAAACCAGACCCAGCCGTGCTCCTTAGAGACGCTTCTCCTCCCGGTCACTGACCTTTCCACTCCTTAATCCCTCTACCGGGAGAGCTCCTCCCACAGCTCTTCTAGTCAGCTCCTTCTCATCGTTCAGATCTCCGAATGGCACAGCCTCGAACACACCCTGCCTGCCTCCCCAGCTGACAAGACCACCATCCAAACTCCGCCTTGTCTTCCTAACATTTCAAACCTTCCAAAGTCTTACGTGCCTACATATATCTTACTCGTTTTTTTCATTACTATGTGCGCCTAATGCCTGGAACATTAGATAAAATAGGTGACCATTTCATTACATCTAGAAGGTACGATGGGGTGGAGTTCCACGTAACCATTAAAGACACGGACAGCAACAAGAGGCTCCCGACATCGGACGGCTAGGAGGGTCTAGCTGGAAAGGGCTATTCCCACTACCTCACGACGTGTAGCCAGACACTAGTAAGTTATGGGCAAGCCTTTAATTGATGAATGCCCCTCCCAGCCAACACATCCGTCGCGTAAGACCTTGCCTCCAGGCAAGAAATATTTAAGGACCGGCCAGAACAATCAAAAACGTTATCCTCGGAGAGAAAGCATCTCTCAGCATTCTGCCCACCACAAGGTCAGCCCTGGGGAGCCCTGAGGCTGGGTAAATGAAGGGCGCTCCAGAACCAGCTAGCTCCGCCCCCCAGCAGCATCCCCGTAAATGAAGCAAAGGAAGGCGTTCCCAAAACAATTGCAAGAGAAAGGGGTGCGGGAACGGGGACGGGCGGGGGGCTTCCGCCGAGCAGCGGGAGCAGCCCGTGCGGCCAGCCCC